TTATTTTTATCTCCCAACAAAACCAACAAACTTCAATTGGATTGGTCGGGACCCTGGAAGATCATCAGAAAACACAACCAAATAAACTATGATATTTATGATGAACATTCCAATGTAGAAAGAAGAGTCCATATAAACATGTTAAAGCCTTATGTTGAAAGGTCTGCTAATGTATGTTTTGTTGTTTCGGAGGAAGAATCCGGTCCCTTTTCTTTTTGGGAGGGTGATCGTGAACAGTACAAAAATTTGGATCGGGTAGAAATGAACATAGAATTGTCCCAACCACAGAGAAGAGAGGTTGTGAAAGTTTTGAGTAAATATAAAGACATATTTTCAGATTTGCCAGGAAAGGTCCAGGGAGTCCAGCATCAAATAAACACCGGTGATGCAACTCCCATAGTATCTCCACCCTACAGGGTCACGGGGAGAATTAATGAGTGTATTGAAAAGGAGATTAAAGAAATGTTGGACCTAGGTATTATTGTTCCATCAGTTAGCTCTTGGGCTTCACCCATAGTGTTGGTACAGAAGCCAGACAAGACAATTAGATTTTGCGTGGATTATAGGCGGTTAAATAAAGTAACCCAGACAGATACTTACCCTATGCCACGTTTAGACGATCTGCTAGAAAGGATGGGGAAGGCCAACTTTATTAGTAGTATAGATCTGACTAAAGGATTCTGGCAAGTGCCCATGGCACCACAGGATCGACACAAAACCGCCTTCCGAACCCAAAGTCGGTTATTTGAATTTTCTGTCCTCCCTTTTGGGCTAAAAAATAGCCCAGCCACATTTCAGAGATTAGTAGACAGTGTTTTAAGTGGGCTGGGGTCTTTTTGCGTGGCCTATATCGATGATATAGGGATTTTCAGCGATTCCTGGGAAGCTCACCTTGAACATTTGGATCTGGTGTTAAGCAGGTTGAGAGAAGCAGGGTTAACTATTAAGGCTTCTAAGTGTAAGATAGGATACAATGTTACTAAGTATTTAGGACATTTAGTGGGAGGAGGTCATATTCGACCTGACCCTACTAAAGTGGCAGTTATTCACCAGTGGCCAGTGCCCAAAACGAAAAAACAGGTTAGGGCATTCCTTGGATTGGCTGGATACTATCGCAAATTTATCCCATCTTTTAGTAATTTGGCGGCCCCTCTTTCGGATCTTACCAAAAAGAAGAACCCGAACCAGGTAATTTGGACTCCAAATTGTCAAACTGCCATGGATCAATTGAAGAAATCAATTACATCGGAAAGTTTCAGGTTTCAAGCACTTTATTAGGGAAAGATACAAAGTCAAAGGAGAGGGGAAGTTACCTGGAGTTGCAGGCATTCCTGGTCTTGGAGCTAGCAGCTGGGGCGCATTCCATCTGCTGGCCTCAAAGCTTGGCCCAGGAACTGCGGAACTCCCTGCTGCAGTTCACACTAATGTAAAGGCGGGGCTACAAGATGCGCTCGCCGTCAGGAGGAAGAAAGAAGAACTCTTCTCTGTTTCCATTGACCACCTTCGTTACCATTGAATGGCCTTGCAGGTCCAAAGCCTGGCTGCTTCCTGCCTGGCTTCCCACAGTTATATTAACCCCATTTGCCTGCTTTCCCACAGGCCTCACCCCTCCGAGGATGCCTGCCATAGAGAGGTGTGGGCGGGAATGCTTCTGGAACATGGCCACGCAGCCCGGAAGACTCACAGCAACACAGAGATTCCGGCCATGAAAGCCTTCAGCTACAAAATGCAGAATATCAATAGTTGTTAGTGTGAAATCTCAGTGAATGCCAAACCCAGAGACTCCGTGGCCAGGACTGGGATTTCCTCTGGATGAGAAGAGGCCTCTCCCTTTCCAGGAGACCTTCTCTCGTGGCCTGGCCAGGCTCTGAGTGCTCAGGAGGCGAGGAAGGGGATGCGGGGAGAGACCCAGGGCACAGAGTTCCACCATTTGGAAGCCCCCGAAAGCCTCAGGAGATACCTGGCAAGGGAACCCCAAACCTTTCACAAATTTATTGAATTATATTTTGGGGTGTGCTGTATTCCTAGTGTCTCAAATGTATGGTGAAGGCCCCTGGTCCCCTTCCCTTCTATGTACATCCAACCCTGGGAACGGAGAGTCCTCTACCCTCAGTAAACCTCCCTCTAGCGATCTCCCAGCCTAGACATGGAATCCCTCTTGTGTGAGAGTGACAGATAGACAATCCCTTTATCAGTTGGGCTGTTTTGCACTCTTTACCTGGCCAGGTGTGTCCAGAGGTCTAGGATTCCCACAGATGCAAAGGCTAAGCAAAGGTGAATAAATGAGCCTTTTGAGTGGATACCCGGCCCTCTGGCTCTGTGGCATGATCACCTTTTGTGTTCTGTGCCTGGCACTGTTGCCTTCTTCGGAATGAGACATTAAGTCAATCAGGGAATCACCTGCACACCCAC